TTATAGTTATAAACATTGTGGACATAAGAATCAACTGTCTGAAGGTCTTATGTTTTGAAACAGACAGTCACCATATTGTGTCGTTTCTAGCGTTCACACCATTTCACACACTCACACCCTCCCAAACCTCTCTCTCTCTCTCTCTCTCTCTCTCTATCTATATATATATATATATATATATATATATATATATATATATATATAATAAAATAGCTCAAACACTAATATTCCATGGTTTTAATTTATTACATTGGAATCGTAATCACGAACCAATTCATCAGAGCTACAAATTATATACATGTGTGTGTGTGTGTGTGTGTGTGTGTGTTTCATGAATGTTACGGACAAAGAAAATTTAATAAGCGTTTTATTTTTTTATTCAGTTTTTCTTATGTTCTTATTTTTTCTCTTATGATGACTCAGACCAAGATGACTAAGAAATATTGTGAGAACATTAGAAAAACTAAATCTAAAACTGATAAAATTATCCTCATCCGTCACATCCAATAAAACATGTGTAAAAAAAGCGCTGTCTCAAATGCACAATATATATATATATATATATATATATATATATATATATATATCACAAACACACACAAGAATACAAAAAATGCAGAGAAACTTGCACCAATGTTAAATTACATAAAAAGGAACAAAATATAAGTGATAAAAAATTGAGGATATCCCCTGAAGAGTGGACGGACAATTTCGCCTAAGAGGCCCTGTCATCGGTATGCCGAAGATAACATCAATCAGCTTTTACTACTACTACTACTACTACTACTGCTACTACTACTACTAATAATAATATATATATATATATATATATATATATATATATATATAGGATTGTGCATACGGAATTCCAGTAACAACCAAATGCTATTCTTAAAAGAGTGTTCAATATATAGTAGAGTAAATATAATTTATTCGAATATTATAACATAATTATTATAACATAAATATGTAATAAAATCACTACAGAAATAGCCTTTTTGTTTCAACACATCTGGTGTCTTATCAAGTAATGGTTTTGAATGTAGAATAAAAAAAACTCTTTATCACTTGATAAGACACCAGAAGTGTTGAAACAAAATAGCTATTTTTGTAGCGATTTTATAACATATATGTTATAATTTTTGAATAAATTGTATTTGCTCTACTCTGTATTGAGCACTCTTTTAAGAATAGTATCATGTGCGAATATGGCTGTATTTGGTATGAGATGCTGAAACTCTTAGCCAATTACCAATAATTTTATTGCCTTATTCAAAAATATTACCAGCAGAGCGGCAGTCGAGTACATTAGCGTCTGACGTGACACTACCTTGCAATACTCTCTGCAGAAAAACGCTGAAAAAAATTGATATTTCTCACTCGCTGAATATTTCGGAAGACCAAACAATGAATATGAGCACAGTGGTGGTAATGAAATTTATAACAAGACACATTTCCGCGGGCCTGTCGCGGGTTCTTCTTTATTGCTTGCGCAAACGGAGTTTACGTGGAAATAAAGTAGAAATTATTACTTCCAGTACGTATTTTATAGGTACTCTTGTAAAAAAAAAAAAAAAAAAAATGCTTAGATAGATAGATAGATAGATAGATAGATAGATAGATAGATAGATAGAAATTCCTTGGTCAGCTGCACTTTTCAAAATCAGTATTTCAATTACTAAATTACCAAATACTGATTTGGGTTCGTGGGTCGAGTTCTCAAAATTTCCAGCACAACCCTCGTATATATAATGCATTTATTGTATGTTTCATTAAAAATTCCCTTCTAATTATTGTGTGAAATTCAAGAAAAATAGAGTACTTTGCAATTTACATAAATTTCCATTCATTAAATTTCCTTTCATTAAAGTTGTGTTTTTCAACACGAATACATTAATGTGTCTATAAATTAATTATTGATAATTACTTTACATCTTTCTTTCTCACACTGACTCTCTCTTTCCATTTTACTCTTGCTCTATCTTTTTCTTTTCTGATCCATTTTTTTTTCTTCCTTTCGAGATGTACAGCTACTTTTTCTATTTTTTCTATTGTGTCCATCTTTCTTCCTCTTTTTTTTTTTTCCTCTTGCATTCTCGCTCTCTCTCTCTCTCTCTCTCTTTTTCTCTTCCACTTTCTCCTCTTCATTTCTAAATGTACAGCTTTTATTTCTCTATTGTACCCACCTTTCATTTTCTTTCTATCATTTCTCTCTTACCCACTTTCTCTCTTTCTTTCTTTTCGCCTCTAGTTTTTTCTTCTTTTCGAAATTTAGTTTCTTTCTTTTTTTCTATTGTACACATTTTTCTTTCTCTTTCTCTTTTCCATCCTGTGTTCTCTTTCTTTCTTTCTTTCTTTCTTTCTTTCTTTCTTTCTTTCTTTCTTTTCTCTACTGTCGTTTCGAAATTGACAGCTTTTCTTTTTTCTACTCTACCCCTCTTTCTTTCTCATTCTCTTTTCCCTCTAGTTTTCTCTTTCTTTCTTTCTTTCTTTCTTTCTT